GGCAATCTTTCCGGTTACAGCTCAGAAAGTCACATCAGTGAGTAGAGAACTAGAAACTGAAACGTGAAAATGTTATGTCTAGAGATTTAAAATATTTTTTTAAAACCTTGTCAGTTGTCAGACAGTGGATAGAGCATCAGCTTGGGGACTTAAGGGACCCGGGTTCGATTCCGGTCAAGGGCATGTACCTTGGTTGCGGGCATATCCCCAGTAGTGGGTATGCAAGAGGCAGCTGATCGATGACTCTCATCGATGTTTCTAACTCTTTATCTCTCTCCCTTCCTCTCTGACAAAATCAATAAAATATATTTTTTAAATAAAAATAAAAATAAAAAAAATAAAACCTTGTAGAGCAGGAGGGAAAAGGGGCTGAGTGACTGTTTAACCGTTTAACAATGGCTCTGAGCTTACTGCTCACCACCACGAAAAAGGTACAACTAGCTGTATTTCCAAAAACTGTCCCCCCAAATGCATAACCTTTTAAAGGGCCACCAGGTATGTATTCTGACCCAGAACTCAACTCCCTCTGCGTTAAATGGGACCAAAGGAAGTGATGCTTCCGTGGACCGCTCCCTTCTTGTACTATGCCTCAAAGTATATCCCAGGCAGAATGGCCCTCCCAAACCACAGTCCTCTGACTGGCAGGTGTGTGTCCTAGTGAACTTACTATAGTTTTCATGGTGATCTCTGGACTGTAGAGCTGCTGTCCACAAAAACGTCCCTACAATTAGCCTATCAATGCACCCAGAATCTGTACAAATTGTGGACAGAGTCCCCACAAAGCTCAGTGGTGGATATCGCACGCTCCTTTGCAAGGCGCATCCCTGAGGATCCGATGGAGCTCGCTGAGATTTGCTTAATTAACAGTAGGGCCCATTCTTGTAGGTTCACCCTCAGCCAGGCCTCTAGCCTCTATACTCAGAACCTAACACCAGCCAGCCGGCCTTACCCTTCCTGGATCTCCACTCAGAAAAGCACCCTTCCCTGGACCGGCCCCCAGCACCCCGAGCACACCAGCACCTCAGATGACATGGCCCGAACCTAAGAGAGAGCTCACCACTGGAGATGGCTGTTCCTCAGATGGCGAGGCCACACCCAGGAGAAAGATGAGGAAGGCAATGTGCCCTCAGCTTCACTGTATGTTGAAACTGGACATTGAGCCAAGACCGGTTTGGCTCAATGGATAGAGCGTCGGCTTGGGGACTGAAGGATCCCGGGTTCAATTCCGGTCAAGGGCATGTATTATACCTTGGTTGCGGGCATGTCCCCAGAGGGGGGTGTGCAAGAGTCAGCTGATTGATGACTCTCTCTCATCAATGTTTCTGACTCTCTATCTCTCTCCCTTCCTCTCTGTACAAAATCAATAAAATATATTAAAAAAAAAAGAAAAAGAAAAAGAAAAGAAACTGGACATTGAGATTTTGCCTTCCCAGATGACCTCCACACCGGGAGGGAAATGACCACGGTGACTATTAACCTCAGAGCTGAGTTGAAAAAATGCCGCTAGTCAATCAACCCTGAAAACCCTAGCATACTATTCTTCTGAAATCGCTAATTGCTTGCTTCAAAACCTTGCTTCTACCAAAACACTTGCTAAACTTGGAGTAAGTCCCGCTGGTAATATTAGACATCATTTCACCTTTAGGGCAAGCCAAACAACATTTTCTTGTGGAGAGCGGCTACAGTGTTTGGACAGGTTCAAGCCTCCGACTCATGAGAGGGCACATTCCTCTCCTGGCCACGTGCAAGTCCCCGCTTGAAGGTCAGAGCCCTCCCAGCACAATTACACCCAACAGCTATAGTTGTCAGCTTAAACCTATGGTCCGGACACGTGGCCTCATGTGCCTGGGTGATGTGGGCTTGGTAGAGTCCAGGTGCATGTAATTCAGTGAGATTGAAACCCATGAGAATGTTGTAAACATCTTGACCACGCCCTTACTTTGCCTTGTGGCATCTGGCTGTAAAATAAAGACTTGGTTTGCAGTCCATGGTGCTGTCGCTAGCTCTCCAACAAAGGACAGAGTCCCACCCAGACCAGCTTTCATTCTCTTGTCTGTCTTTTCTCAATCCTTCACCGCCCCCTCTCAGGGTCACTGAACCTGGCTGAGCTGGCGCAGCACATAAGGCGTCCTGGGGCTGAGCATGCCATGGCCGTGCCGGCTTGCCACATATTCTAACCACAATAAAGCATTTCTTTGCAGCAACCGCTTAGCCCACGGTTAGGGCCCTCTGATCACTGCTCACTGAACTAGATTACAACTATATTCATACAAACCTCCAAGTCAGCAGTGTAAGCCTTGCAAGTAAAATGATATTGGATCTGCCACCACACAGGATCAGACCTAAGGGCCCGTCACCATCCCACAGTTCTTCCTAGTGATCAGCACCTTGTGTTAATTTCCTCCAAAACACCACAAGCCTCAGGCTAAACCAAAATGTTAATCTAGATCCCAAACAGGGTATCCTGTTATAACTTTACAATAAATATCTAACTTCTCAGAGACAGTGTTTGAAGGACAATCCTCCTATCTAATAAAGAGGGAATATGCTAATTACCCTCACAACATTGCAAAGATGGCAGTGCCCACAGCCAATAAGGAGGGAATATGCTAATTGGCTATCCTGCCCTCAAAGATGGTGGCACCCACACCAATAAAGAGGGAATATGCTAATTGACTACCCCACTCTCAAAGATGGTGGTGCCTACAGCCACAAGATGGTGGTGCCAAGCCCCCTCAACCCCACTGGGGTGACAGGCACACTGCAAGGCTAGGCCTGTCCCTGGCAGGCCTGGCCGCTCCATGCGCCTGCCTTTGGAGTCCCCCAGTCCCCTCAGCCCCCAGCTGCCCAGGGCCAGCCAATGAGCAGACAAGCCTCAGATAGCGGCTGCCCAGCCACCCAGGACAGACCAAGGCTTGTGCTGCCAGCTGTGGCAGCAGCAGAGGTGTGATGGGGTGTTGTCTTCCCCTGATTGCCTAGTCGCCTCCCACCCCTGAGGTCTCCTGGACTATGAGAGGGGGCAGGACGGGCTGAGGGACCTCTTTTCATGCCCTGGGCTTATAGTCTATATAATAAAAGACTAATATGCAAATTGTCCCCTTGACCAGGAGTTCAACAGGGAGTTCAATCAGGGGGTAGGGTCAGCCAACTGCCCAGAGCCCCTCCCCTAGCTGGCCTCACCCAATCAATCTGGGCCAGGCTGCTTGGCTGGCCAGATCCCGCCCATGTGCAAATTCATGGACTGGGCTTCTAATAATTTTTTTTCTTTTACATTTTTTTTTATTAAATTATTATCTGTGTAGACTTCTAATAATTATTTAAATGGACAAATTCTATGTTTCCTTTTATTTTGCAATCATTTTGATTAGGTCCCCAGTGGCATTTTCTAAATACTACCTACCCAGCCACATTGGCTTAGTGGTTGAGCGTCGACCTATGAACCAAGAGGTTATCGACCTATGAACCGGGAGGTCACGGTTCGATCCCAGTCAGGGCATATGCCTGGCTTGTGGGCTCGATTCCCGATCCTGCAGGAGGCAGCCAGTCAATGATTCTCTCTCATCATTGATGTTTCTATTTCTCTCCCTCTCCCTTCATCTCTGAAATCAATAAAAACATATTTAAAAAAATAAAGGCTATCAACTATACTGGAACACAAAAGGCTGGCCCTCACCCTGTATACATACTCCCTGCCCCATAATTATAAATCACGTCTCATTCAAATTCTATTGTGGACCTGACTCAAGAAGCAGGAGAAGTGTACATGGCCCTGCCCAGTCTGCAAGCTATCCAGGGAGATGATCCCTATTACTCACCGTTACATTATGTGGCTTCAGGTAAGATGCAGTGAGAAGACTACATCACTTCTGTGGCATTCTTGCCAAAGTGTATAACCTGAGTTTAATCAGGAGAAACGTTAGACAAACTCAAATTAAATATGTCTATAAAACAACTGGTCAGTACTCTTTAAAAGTTTCAAGGCCATAAAAGACAAAGACTGAAGATGAAAGACAATAACTGAGGAACTATCCAGATTAAAGAGAGACAACAACTAAATGCAATATGTAATCCTGGATTGGATCCTAGCCCATAAAAGGGATATTAGTGGAACAATTTACGAAATTTTAATCAAGTCAGCAGATTAGTTGCCAGTGTGTCAGTTTTCTGTTCTTGATGATTATGCTGTGAAAATGTATGACATTAATACTTTGGAGAGCCTATTAATTGCACATGCTCCGTTTTTTTCTGTGCCAACAGAATCCACTTGGGAAAACATGTTAAAGTGCTACGGCCAGTAAAAAGCTCAGCTGATGACTGAAAATCTTCAAAAGGACTGACGCAATAGGATGGATTCTAAAGTTTGGAGGTTAAGGGAAAAGGGGAGTGGGGGGTGTGGGAAGAGACTGAACATAAACTGTGCACCTATGGATGAGGATAATGGCGGCTGGGGAAAGGGCAGAGGGTGGGGTGGGAACCTGGCAGAGGGGAGCAATGGAGGGTGGGGGAAATGAGGAACATTTGTAATAACATGAACAATAAAGATTTATTAAAAAAAGAATAATAAATAAATAAATAAAAATTTAAAATAAATAAAGATGCAATATCAGTTCCTAAATCCAAATCTAATAAAACTTATAGATATAAACAGAAAAAAAACTAAAGTTTGGAGGTCAGAGCAGGGAGCCAGGTTCCAGTGCGCCCGCATTCGGAGGACACGCCCCCTCCCCGCTGGACGGCGGGCCAGGCAGCCTGCGGGGGCGGGGCTTGATGACGCCACGACGCGCCCCGCCCCCTTACGCCGCGCACCGGGGCGGCCCGGAGGCTTCCGGCGGCGCCGGCGCCATCTTGCAGGGACCTGCGGCCGAGTGGGAGCGGAGCGGGGCGGCCCTTGTTGCCGACTCTTCCCTCCTCCCGCCACGCTCCTGCCCGCGGGCCAGCTGGGCCTTCGGTCCTCGAGGCGACACGTGTGTCTTGCTTAGCCCGGGGCGCGCCTGGCCGCCATGAGTGATGTAGAGGAGAACAACTTCGAGGGCAGAGTGAGTACAAAGCCGCGGGAGCCGTCTTCGCGGCGGCCGGTGCTCGGGGCTCCCGGGGCGGCGCGGGGGAGGCGCGGGCGCGGGCAGTTGGCGGGAGCCCGTCCCGGCGGCTTCCTCAGCCCCACGCTGGCTCCTGGGCCCCCTCGGGCGGCCTGTCCCCGGTGTGGGGGGCTGACGGCCCCCGGACTCCGAGTCCGCGTCGCGCACGCAGCGCCTCCCCCGCCTCCGGAGGAGCGGGCCCGCGGCAGCGCCGGGCGGCAGCGGTAGGTGCCTGCGCGGGGCTTCCGGCGGCGCCGGCGCCGGGGCTGCCGGGCGGCGGGACGAGCCGGGACCGGGGCAGGCGGCGGCCGCGGCGGCCCTAGCGCCCTCAGCCGGGAGCGGAGCGGGGAGCCTGCCCCCGCGGTCCCCGCGATGCCCTCGCCTCCCAGCACCGTGCGTGCGGGAAACGCCTGGTTTTCTCCTCCTGGATGTCGGGTTGTGTTTTCCCTCCTCCCTCTTCAGTATGTCTCACCTTCTAAAGCTTTTCCTTCCTGTGTGACCTTTCACCTAAACGCTGGCCGCTCCTTTTTCAGGTTTCTGCGGTAAAACCAACAGAAAGTGTGTCGTGGCGGGGGGGGGGTCTTGTGTCTTAATCTTAGGTACCTGAGGGGACTCCGTGGCTCAGTGTTTTTAAATAGCTGGTCCGTGGGTGCTGTTCTCCATCGGCAGAGCTTCCCCGGGGTCGATGCACGGAAGCGTCGCCAGGATATGTGTGTGTGTGTGTTCAGAGCCTCCCTGCGCTGGGGGGTTTGTCGGTGTCGGAGTTGTGTTAGCGCTCGCGGTGGGCGTGGGAGGGAGGGAGTTGGAACCCTGAACACGCGGCCCCCGGGCAACGCGTGTGCCGCGTGGTGTTGTGTCCTGGGCAGTCGCCAGGGAAACGCCCTCTGGGCTGTGCTGGCCGCAGTGAAGTTTGTCTCTCAGAAGCTCATAATAGCAGCACCTGGAACCAGACCGTTAAGGAGGAAAGAGGTTTAAGTGGATTATAAACAAAAAGACTTTTTAATTCCTATAAGATTGGATTTAACATTTTATATATATATATGATCCGGAGGGTAGATATAAATGGGTAAATGGCTCACTTTTTAGGAGCACTTTCTTGAAAGTCCCAGAAAACTTTTAAAAGTCGTTTGGTGGTAGTTGTAAGCTATCAGGTAGGTAGTTATTGGAAGGAATTCTGCTATCCATTAATCTTTCCTTCGATTATTTAGTACAAAAAGAGTTCTTTTTGTTAAGGTTTGGTTTGGTTTGTGGGGAAGAGGACTTGCTATTCGGGAGCTTGTGTCCCTTTAGTTCTTAGTTTAGCATTCTTGTCACCTTACCCACCTAATAGATGGAAGATTCCCACCCAGTTTTAATCTAAAATGTATGTAGGATCAATTTGTTGTAATAGGAAAAGAGTTTTTACCCTTGTATGGTGTCTGTGGCCATAGGAAATATTTTTTCCTGGTACCCAGTATTTTAGTGTGGGTGAACTCAGACTAAACACATCCATGCTCATGTGTTTTTTTTGTGTGTGTTTTTTTAATATGCTTTGAGGTCATTGTTTTACTTATAATTAGTTAAGGAATTAGAAGAATGCCAGAAGCTTTTCTGAGGATTTACATTTTCTTAAAGCAAGTCACTAGGGCTTTTGGTTTTTAAAGTACAGTGATAATCTGCTAACCACAACCAGCAGTTTTTATAGAATACAATTGTTTCCTTCTCTTTGTATCTAAATTTATAAAGGCTCAAAAAACGATTTCAAGATGTTTAGTTGTTATATTTCAGACTTTTTTATAAAATAACTTAGAGAAAACTAACAGGTCAGTATTCAGATTTCATTTGCTTTATCTACAGAATAATCGACAGAATAAACAGCACACATTTACCCCGTCTTACTGAAAAGATATTTAAACTTAGCAGCTTTCTAGAGAGTTCAGAATACATTTTTAAAAATAGAATCTATACCCAGTCCCCCAAAAATGTTGACATACGTTGTCATTTACTTCTCACACTAATTTTTTTAAAGGCTGCAGTACTCCGACCATTTTAGAAATTAAAAAATGAGGCCCAGTCCGGCCAGTGTTGCTCAGTGGTTGACTTGCTGTGAACCAGGCCTAGGCACATGCCATGGTTGCAGGCTCCCTCCCCAGTAGGAGGGCGTGCAGGAGGCAACCTATCAATGATTCCCACCATTGATGTTTCTATCTTCCTCTTCCCTTCTCTCTGAAATTCAATAAAAGTACATTTTTAAAGTAAAATACCGAGGCCATGCAGCCAGGAATCTGAGATGTCCAAGTCCCAGGTATTCGCTCATACAACACTATATTGTTTACTTTTTTTTTTTTAAGAGTGCATCTACTTCAGTGCCTCTGAGCCATCAGTGGCTTTTGCTAAACACAGTTACAGAAGCTTAATTTTCCATTATGGATTAATGTCTCTTCCATTTTAAAGTACTGGAGTAAAAGAACTTTAGGAAAGAAAATATAATTGACTGAATTTAGTTATGAGTGACCCTAAGACTTAGCTAACCAAAATTCTCTTCTACCTGAGGTGAAACTGTTGAGAATCTGCTGCTGCCTTTTTACTCTAAAGGCCAGATGTTTTTCAGGGGGAAAACTTTGAAGTCTTATTTGGGATGACTTGACAGCTCAAATCTGGGTAAAATACTTAAGCAAGTGCTGTGTGATGGAATAAATAAGGAATTCAGAAAATGTGCCAAGCAGTTCTGTGAGCTACTGGAAAGGGAAAGCTCTACCTGCCGTGTGGAACTTCCTTACTTTGGGTCTTTTGGTAAGGGAAAGAGCGTAGGGATGTGACAGTGAGTGAGGAGATTGCTGGGATAGTGGAAGATGATAGATTGACTAAATATGCAGTCAGATAATGGAGGGTTTTAAATTCTAAATTTATGAATTTGGATTTAATCCAATATGCAGTGAGGAGCCATCTATGGATTAATTCTGGGAGTAGCATAATGAAAGGGATTTTAGCAAAGAATAAAGAGACTGGTACAGGAAGAGCATCAGGGCACAGTTTAAATATTTTAGACCTGGCTGGAGTGGCTCAGTGGTTGAGCATGGGCCTATGAACCAGGAGGTCATGGTTCAATCCCAGCCAGGGTGCTGAAAGGAGGGAGTCAAAGGAGGCAGCCTATCAATGATGCTCTCTCATCATTGGTGTTTTTACCTCTTTCTCTCCCCCTCCTCCTCACCCTCCCCCCTTTCCTCTCTGAAATCAATAAAAATATTTATTTTAGGAAGGAAGTTATACAGGACATCAATGGAATGTTAAGAATGAGACATTTTTAAGAACTCGAAGATAATAGTGGAGCTCTTAAAATAGGTTCTTTAAAACAATTTGCATAAGTTTTACTTATTTTATTCCTCTCTTCCTCTCTTTTTTTTAATGAAACTTAGAAAAAATATTGAGTCCACTTATATTCTCATACAATGGCCCCAGGGATTTTAATAGAGGTTAATGATTATTGTGTGGAAGGCCATCTTATAATTGCACAATTGTCTATGCTTTAAATAGGAAAAATAATACTTTTTCCTGCCCCTTGTTAGAGCTTACTGCTACTTCCTTAACAGGCTCCTAGGGAGGGAGGGAGATACACACACACACACACACACACACACACACGATTGACTAGATAATACAAATGAAGAGCAAAACACAAATTCATCTGTACCAATTTGGAATTAAAATTTGTGGATATTTTGTTGAACACAGAAATAGGGGAAGATTTATTTCTTCTCTGAAACCTGGTTTGTAATAATAGGGGTGATGACTACGCCATTCAAAATCCAGCTTGGTGATTGGCTCCTTTTTAAAAAACAAACAATAAAAAAAACTTAAACTCGGTGTTTTACTTTTCTGTTGATGAAGTTTTAAAATAATGAGGGTTTAAAATTATATAAATTCCTATTTTATATATAAAATATCAGCACTTTAGCTTTCAGTTCAGCCTTATTCAAACATTTAATTTCCTCTCTCACATCAACCTATTAGAAAAGCATAAAACTTCCTTTCTTGTAGTAGGGGTTGTATTAAACTCAAGATAGTTTTCTTTGTCTTGGGTTTTCTTCATAAAATTAAGTACTATCATTATCCCTTTTTTTTTTTTTAATTAATTGATCTGAGAGAGAGGAGAGGAGGTGGAGAAAAACAGACACCAATTTGTTTTTCCACATATTTATGCATATATTGGGTGATTCTTGTATGTGTCCTGACTGAGGATTGAACCTATTGGGACAGCACTCAAACCAACTGAGCTACCTGGCAAGGGTCATCCAATTTTAATGCTCAGATTTTTATATTTGAGATTTCTTTCACTGAAGGGCACTAATTTGCTCAATAGAAGTAGAAGGCAGGATTTTTAAAAGGAGCAATGCAACTAATCATAGCCACAGAGCATAACTGTAATTTTACAGATTTGTTATAGATGCTTCTTAATATCTATCATTTCTAACGAGAATAACAGTTTTGGGACCTGAACTAATATTAAGAGATTTAAATATTTAGGAATGAGCTCCATTAAAAATACAAATAAACTTTATGGACTTGATTTTGTAAATGAACTATTTACCTAAGATATATAACAAGTGTGAAATAGTCACGAATAATCAGCATAATATTTTTGTAAAACTTGCCAGTGTGAAAATTCTTTGTAATATCAGTGGGTGCTTAGGTATCAAATAACTAATCCTGGAACCTTCGTAAAAAGTATATATTTACGTGCTGAATTAATACTGATAATCTTATGTCATAATAGATTTAGCAAGACAAGTGGAGGTGAGAAAATGGCAAAGATCAGATGGGGAAAAGAATCAGTAAGCCCTGTGAAAGAAAGTTGAGGGGAATAATGGACGAAAATATGGTTTCCCTTCCTCTAAGTTTCTGCCATGTATAACTGTGACTAGGCCTGACTTATCTGACATAGAGGGAAAAGTTAACTTTTCCTTGAAACTAAGGCCATATAGTCTTATTCAAGATTCACAGTACTTCATGACATTAGAAGATGAGAACATAAGTAGAGAGTTCTATGACAAGTTCTTATTTTAGTAGCTTGCTTTTAGTTGCTGTTTACTGGCTTTATCATTTCTAGTTGTTTTATAGTTATTATAAAGTTGTTTTCTATACCTTTGAAATTGTCACTTAATACACTAGCTTTTTGGATTTAATTGATCATGGTATATAAGCTGGCATGTTTATGAGCCACGTTTAAAATATCTGTGGGCCTTTGCAGATACAAAGACCACTTTAACCTCACTCAGAATACATCATAGGTATGATCTTAAAGAACGGGAAATCATTTAAAAATAGCTGATGTTGTGAGCATTTAGGGGTTTTTATTTTTATTTATTTATTTATTTTAAGGAATTGCTCTAATAGTTGCTAGGGGCTTTTATAAGCCTAGGAGTCTGTAAAAGAAGCAGCCTAGCTGAAACGGGTTTGGCTCAGTGGTAGAGCGTCGGTCTGCGGACTGAAAGGTCCCAGGTTCGATTCCTGTCAAGGGCATGTACATTGGTTGTGGGCACATCCCCGGTAGGGGGTGTGCAAGAGGCAGCTGGTCGATGTTTCTCTCATTGACATTTCTAGCTCTCTTATCTCTCTCCCTTCCTCTCTGTAAAAAATCAATAAAATATATATATTTTTTTAAAAAATCATACTCAAGAGAAAGGAGACGGAACTGCTATTTCTGTAGACTGAAATAAAGAATTGAGTGAACACAGGTTTCCATATGTCCTAAAGAGTGAGGTTCTTGCCGAAACCGGTTTGGCTCAATGGATAGAGCGTCGGCTTGGGGACTGAAAGGTCCCGGGTTCGGTTCCGGTCAAGGGCATGTACCTTGCTTGCGGGCATATCCTCAGTAGGGGGTGTGCAGGAGGCAGCAGATCGATGACTCTCATCGATGTTTCTAACTCTATCTCTCTCCCTTCCTGTCTGTACAAAATCAATAAAATAAAAAAAAAAGAGTGAGGTTCTTAGTACAGTACTATATAAGTTATTTGGGTAATTTAAACACCTCCTCTTCCCTTGGACATACAGTTTAACTAAATGCACAAGTGTATTTCTAAGGAAATAGATACCCAATTTCATAAAATAGTGGGAAAATATATTTTGAGAAAGTTTATTTTAAAAGCTTACATTCTAGTCATGTAGATTTGAATTGTGTAAACTTGACACTATTACTTGGCATAGAGTTTGCCTTGCCATAACAGTAGTATGGGTTACAGTGTAGCATTTATATTGGTTTCTGTGTTTAAGTATTAAGCATATATTGGTGGAATTTTTTCACCTATAATATGATACTAGCTTTATTGAAAAGCACTGCTTACTGTGGAAATTGTGTTCTGCAACAATGTGTGCATCTATTGAATAACCCATTTTCCTGATTAAAATAATAATATGTGGTTGTTGCAGTTATTTTCACTATGTAAAATACAACTGTATTTAACACAGAAGAGAAAGATGGCTCCTAGATGGCTTTATTGAATACTCATAACTTTCTTAGTATTTATGGTCAGCCTCTTCCTGTCGGGGGGAGTGGTGGCTATGTCTAGCTATCAGCAGAGGTACCTTAATAGTAAACAAGTTAAAAGAACAAACACGTTATTTGAGCAGGTTGTGCAGTGAGAACTTTTTGCTTGGCTTTTCACTTATAGTGGTTACGATAGAATGGGAACCTATTTAAGATTTATATTAAAATTTGTGATATGATGTGATTGTAAGTCAAAGGTAGAAAAGGAAATGTAGCATTTGTCCATAAAGAGCTCATCGTAGCCTGGTTTCTAAAGTACAGTTAAGTGAAAATGGCATTTATTTGGCACTAGCTTTGGATAAATAAGTTGCTTTAAAATGGCAATTATTAATATGACCATTTTTCTGTGTGTGAAAACTATTAACTAGTTCTTATGACAGGCCTTTTTTAGTATTATAATAAAAATAATTCTGAAGAATTAAAGTTATCTTTTTTTCTATATATAGTTTACATTTTTTGTTTTGTTTTTTCTTTAAAGGTTATTTTTTAGGTTAAGTGTACTGAGGATTGTTGATTTATCTAAAGTCTCGAGTTTATCGTTGTTTTGGGAGGGTAAACCAATAGTGACAGCCTTGAAACTAGGAGTTTACTGGAGTTAAGAGGACTGTTTATTAACCTTGGATGAGTCTATGAAAAAATTTATGCTGATTTAGGTTCCCTGCTAAAACAAAATTGAAGATAGGCAACAAAGGAAGTTAGATATTTGTAACACTGGATAATAAAAAAGTAAGTCTTCTTTAAGAATATGCTAATATCTTTTGAAAAGATACTGTCCTATCTTAATACTTTATAAACAAATAAAGGGAAAATTGCATTTTTCCCAATGAGTAGCTGTGCCAAACTGAGATTTAAAATCTAAGATGTTACTGATTACCTTATTTACATTAGTTTCTAAGAAGTGGTAATTTTCAGTACTACTGAATAATTTTCAACCATTAGTCATGCTAATGAAAGAACGCTTGAAAATGAAATGTACACATATATTTGTGCCATAACATTTTTATTCTGTACTAGAAAGCTTCACATAAACATTTAGGAATAAATTTGGTATTTTAATATATGGGAAAATGAAAAGTTTTATAGTGTCACAGCACAAAGCCTTCTGATACGTATTATAACAAGGGCTGTGCTGATGTTCTAGGCACTGCTCCATCTACTATTCTACAGTAGAATAAATGAATGTTTTACCAAAGGATTTGTTTTATAGACAGGAAAGCAAAAAAAAGAGAGAGGAAGATATTCTTAAATCAGCGTAGTTCCTGAACCAGTCTAAGTACTGAATATACTGCTTTTACAGTTTTAGTGAATCAAAAAGCCTGAATTGCTTTTCCTGCTCAGGCTTCTATCCAGAAATTTAGAGTATGTGAGATATTGTATAGATGGCTAAATATATTGTTTTGTTTTTATCTAAAAAATTAAATATGCTTAGCAGCATTAGTACAGTTTTTGACATTAAGTTAAATGTAAAGGAAAAGTTGTAAGCAGGTTGCATGGTAGGAAGTCTTAGAAATTATTTGATTTGAAAAGTTGTTTTTAATTTCAACTTTTCAAAAGCCAATTTTCTGGTATAGGATATAGTCACTGAAGGGGTAGCATAAATAATGCATAACTGCATAAAAACTATGAACAAAAAGAGGTGGGATAAAAAAAACTAAAGACCATGTTACTAATTTTGTAATAAATTCTTGTGCTATATGATACTTAATGGAAAATGTAGAATTTTAAAATACCACAGGTGCAAAAATACATATTATATATTAGGAATTTATAAGCCAGGGAGGTTATTTTAAGCATTTCATACTTTCTTTTTCCCCTTACTTTTTTTTTAGAATGCTTGTCAAAATTTTATCTTCCTGGTTAAGTTGGAGTAAGCAAAGATAGTGGTCAAACAGCATTGGGAGATGTTAGTAATTGTACTAATTTTTTTCTCTTCGTTTGAACCTTAGCATGTGTCCTCTAGTCTTTGAGTTTAGATAGATATGTGCAGATATTTCAGGGTAGGATGCTTTGCATGGCTTAGTGAAAGCTTATTTTAAGATCACTAAGAATCTTCAGGTTATAAATTAGTGAAAAGGTAAAAATGTAGGTGGGGATTATAGTTCATGTTAGATTTATGCTCGAATTAAGTATTCATATTAAAATTGTTCTAATTTTAGGAACTAGGATGAAACATGAAAGGGGAGGAGGGTGAAGAGTATGGTAAAAAAAAAAAATTAGAAAAATTCAGTAAATTCTTTAATTTTTAGAAACTAGACTTTTGAGCAGTTTTAAAGATTATAAAATTGTTTTTTAAGTAAACTAGTTATTTGCACTTTACCTGCTGGCTTTTCCATTTGGTAGATAACATTCTGAACTCCAGCAGAGTTTTATAATCCCCACGTGCTTAAATATACTAAATGTTCTTTTTCCATTAAGGTTAATGTTCGTGAAGAAATTGAAGAGTTTTTTCCAAGAATGTGGAAGATAAAGCAAGATAAAAGAAGGCTAATGAAAAGTGTTAAAGATCAGAAAATTAAAATTGAATGGGGGAAAAAATTGAACAGAAGATTGGTCAGATAGAAGCACTTGAATATTTTTTTTAAGGCTATTTTGAATTGTTTGAATTGGGGAAGAATACACGAAGTATGAAAAATGAAAAACTCAATGAAGAATGAAGAGAAGTAGAAAGCAAGAGTGAAGTAGAATTAAAAGAATCTGGAAGAATGAATGGGTCCTAGGTTAAGTAAATGTATGGTTTATGTTCCAGTGTCTGTATGATCAAGTTGTAGATGAATTTGCATGATTACTTAGCTAATAGAGAATTGGTGATCTGGTTCAAGTAGGGAATTATTGAGGACAGTTAGCAGTATTAACAAGGGGCTGTTAATGAGCTGAAATTTTTTCTGGAGGGTGTTGCCTAACCACTTGTTTTTCAGGAGCAATCAATATAAATAATTACGGTACTTTAAATGTTAGGTGTTAGGCATCTATGTGACCAGTGCTATTTGTAATACTGTCTTCTTTGTTAGGAGTCTCGCTCTCAGTCAAAATCTCCAACGGGAACTCCTGCTCGTGTAAAATCGGAGAGCAGGTCAGGATCTCGTAGTCCATCACGGGTTTCCAAACATTCTGAATCCCATTCTCGATCAAGATCAAAATCCAGGTATGTGTGTTTAAAATAATACTTAAAATGCTTTCCTTGGGTTTTTCAGGGCAAAGTAGTATTTGCTTTTTCTAAATCCCTTATTCTTACCTCATTTTATATAGAGGTATTTATAGTGACCGGGTGCCTGCACATTAAAAGGGGATTAATTAGAGGAAATAATTTAATATTGCTATTTGCCCTTTCTCTATAATAGAAGTGTCAGAGATGAAAGAAAATTAGTAAAATGTATATGAGTCCCTGTCAGAGTCTGGGACTCACCATGGGGCCCAGAGTCAAGACGCCACCCACCCACATGCACCTCAAAATCACATGAGATCCAGACCCAGTCAGCCCCCCTCCAGCATTGGGCTAGATCCACTCCTGTCCAGTCCCACCCTTGGTAAGCCCTGTTGGGCAGAGGGCGTAGCCTCAGGTCCCCTGGCCTGGCACAGGATGGGGGTGTGGCCTGAGGTCCTTTGTCAAGCCCCACCAAGTGGGGGACCTGACCTGAGATCCCTCTCAAGTCCTATGGGGGGGGGGCGCAGCCTCAGGCCCCCTGGCCTGGTACTGGGGTGGGGGGTGCGGTCTGAGGTCCCCCAGCCTGGTGCAATATTAAATTATTTCCTCTAATCCCCTTTTAATGTGCACAAAGTCCCCTGTCAAACCCTGCCGGGTGGGGGAGGGGGTACCACCTGAAATCTCCTGTATAGCCCCACGAGGGCAGGGAAGGGCATAGCCTCAGGTCCCTGCTGATTGCTCATTAAAGCTCCGTATGGGAACTTGTCCTCAGCTAAGGGTGCAGCCATCTTTGTGATGGAGTGATGGTCAATTAGCATATTCCCTCTTTATTAGATAGGATTTTATCAAAGATTCAAATCATGAAGTAGTCTTTTCAAACTGTTTAGAAATGGAATTTAGAAATGAATAATACATTCTAGATATAGACTTAGATATAAGGTAGAATTATCTCTATCAGATACTAGCTATTACAACAATGTCAGTTGACTTAAATGTGCTTAACATTTGAGGATTAGTTTTTTATTTTATTTCAATAATGCACAACAAAATAATTTTCTTGGCATATAATTTAGTGCAGAGAAAGTTGATGTAAGTATGTTATGCTAGTTATCAAAATGATTTGAGAAGCTTTTTCAAGATTCACATTCCATCTACATTCTTTACCTGAAGATTCTGACTTAGGTCCAAGGTGCAATAACCATCTTACTTTCTGTCTTCATGATTTTGACTAACAAATGCTGCTTATAAATGGAGTTATAGCCAAAACAGGTTTAGCTTAATGGATAGAACGTCAGCCTGTGGACTGAAAGATCCCAGGTTCAATTCCGGTCAAGGGCATGTACCTTGGTTGCAGGCACATCCCCAGTGGAGGGTGTGCAGGAGGCAGCTGATGGATGTTTCTAGCTCTTTATCCCTCTCCCTTCCTCTCTGTAAAAAATCAATAAAATATTTTTTAAAATGAGTTATATAGTATGAGTGACTTGTTTCATTTAGCATCATGCCCTCATATTTTATCTGTGTTGAATATTGCAGAATTTCCTTCCTAGTAGTAGTTGGGCTGTTTGTTTTATTTTGTTTTTAAAAGAAAGCAGAACCTTAACATGCTTGTAAGGTAAGGTGAAAAGAGTGAATGGAGAAAGGAGAGACTGAGAACAAGAAAGAGATTGTTAAAAAAAAAAAAGGGGGGGGGTGGATTGTAATGATTAAGAGAATGAGAGGGAGACTACCATTTCTTCAGAAAGGAGCTAAGAACAAACAGGGATATGTGTATAGGTCCTTAGCATTAGCCATTTGTTTCAATATTCCCTGCATTTACTTTTCTCCAAGGTCGAGGTCAAGGAGGCATTCTCATAGACGTTACAGCCGATCCAGATCCCATTCTCACTCTCACAGGAGACGATCTCGGAGTAGGTCATACACCCTGGAATACCGCCGTCGAAAGAGCCGAAGCCATTCTCCCATGTCTAACCGGAGAAGACATACAGGCAGCAGGGTATGTGGTCTAAAGAGGTTAATGAACTTATTTTGTCTTCGATATGTGTTTAGTCATAGCATAATATCTTGCTTTATGAGAGCGAGGCCAGGGTTTAAAAAGTAGTTTCTCCCATGTGATACTGCAGACTGCCATGTGAATTTAGTACTAAAAAATGAAAATGGGCAGTGGGGAGTCCTAATCAACAATTGCAGATAAAGTCAGATTGAGTACACATCTATAAGGCATGTAAAACATTTTAATAAACTAGAAATATGGCATTAAACTGAGGATGAATTATTACTATGCATTTTTCAAGTTGCTAGGCTACAGTGTGGGATTTTTGTTTTATTCAGGCTATAACCTGAAGTTTATTCCATAGAGGGCAGGAGTGTTATTGTGAACTGTAGGATCTAACTCATCAGTTCATTTTCCTCTTAAATGATTTTCAGCCTAAACCGGTTTGGCTCAGTGGATAAAGCATGGCCTGCGGATTGAAAGGTCCCAGGTTCGATTCCGGTCAAGGGCATGTACCTTGGTTGCGGGCACATCCCCAGTAGGGGGTATGCAGGAGGCAGCTGATCGATGATTCTCTCTCATCGATATTTCTAGCTCTCTATCCCTCTTCCTCTCTGTAAAAAATCAATAAGATATTTTTTTAAAAATTATTTTCAAGTCATTTGAAACAGTGTAGTCTTTGGGTAAGGTGTTCTATGCATAGTATTTCTGTTTTAATATTTATTTTAATTTGGAGCTTAAAATTAAATGACATCTTTATTCAACAGGCAAATCCAGATCCCAACACTTGTCTGGGAGTGTTTGGCCTCAGTTTGTATACAACAGAGAGAGATCTTCGTGAAGTATTTTCTCGATATGGACCATTGAGTGGTGTCAATGTGGTTTATGATCAGCGAACTGGACGTTCACGAGGGTTTGCTTTTGTCTATTTTGAAAGAATAGATGACTCGAAGGAGGTAATTTTGTTTTTATAATTGTCACTTTGAACATTTTCTGATGTGCATGATTATAGTATTGAATTACTATTAAAAGTTGATTAATAGACTCCCAGTTTCATAAACATGTCTTCTTTCATTCTTGACCTGATTCAAAGTGTAACAATTAGAATGGCCAGTTTCACTTTCTGGGACCCTTCAAAGAAGCACTTTTTAAAGCTTTTCTTAGGCATATTTGAATTGCCAGCATTGCTATTCTTATGCTTTAGTGCATTGTTCAGTAAAATAAGGGTTACTTGAACACAAGCATATTATGACAGTTGATTTCACAATCCAGATAGCCAAGCCACTAAGTGCCTAGTGGGAATGGGGGTGAGTAAAGTAGATTATATAATATAATGTGAACGTGCTGGACAGTAATAATTCACATCTCGGGAAGGACATGCACAATTTTTAAACTTAAGACTTGTTTATTTCTGCTATTTTCCATTTTAATATTTTCGTCCCGAGGTTGACTGGATGACAAACTGCACATGGGGGGGGGGGGGGGGCACTACTTTGCTTATTTCTCTTCTCAATTAAGGGATAAAGGTGTAAATTTAGAAATTTCAAGATATCTGACCTGAAGTAAATGTTGAGTGTGAACAAGTTTCATATTTTCAAAAGTAAAGCTTTTGAAAATATGAAACTTGTTTGTACTCTCTCTTGACAACACACACACACACACACACCATTTATTCCTGGGCAAAATAAAATGAAAATGCAACTTTACTTAGTTCCAAAGAACTTCATGCAAATTTGTTAAGGTGATAGAATTATTATTGTATTTATTGGTATTAATGTCGAAGGTCAGAGGGAATATAAATGCAGGTATAAGACAGGAGTACTTACTGAGAGGTTCTTTTTGTGTTCACGACACTAGGTGGCGGTGTGTTCTTAAGGAAATGCTTGGCTGGTTTAGACTTGTCAGTTGAAGTGCATTTTGTGCTTTGAGTTGTCCAGACTGAAATCAGTCACTGCACCCCCAGAGTTATGCCAGCTTCCCTGAGTTGTATAGTTCCTTCCTTCTCTAGCTGCCCCAGAGTCTCAGCGCAGGCCTGCTTATGTTTCCATGTGTACATTAGAAAACTCACTGCTATTAACATGCAAATAGCAGGGATTCATATGTACAGTCATACTCCCTGTACTCCCTGTTGTTTAAAAAGAAGTGGTTAGAGCCTTTTAATTTTTGAAATTTCAAATGGAAAGGTTAATTTATTACAGTTTTAATAGTCTCTCCTTGGTGAATTATGTATGACTGACTATGCCCCCCCCCCCTTTTTTTTTTTTTTAAGGCTATGGAAAGGGCAAATGGAATGGAGCTGGATGGTAGAAGAATTCGTGTGGACTATTCTATCACCAAGAGAGCACACACACCTACACCAGGCATCTACATGGGCAGACCAACTCAGTAAGATTTCAAGTTTCCTAAGCTAAACTATTTTAGCCAGAAGTCTACCAGATGTATCTACAAAATTTTGATTAGTAAAAAGATAAAATTTTCCCTATAAAAATGGAAATTTATTTAATTTGTATATATTCTTTGAATCATTTCATACAGTTGACCCTTGAACAACGAAGGGGTTAGGTGCACCAAATCCAGTGCAGTCAAAAATCCACATTGAGCTGAGACTGGTTTGGCTCAGTGGATAGAGGTCGGCTGGCAGACTGAAAGGTCTCAGGTCTCAGGATCGATACCTTGGTTGTGGGCACATCCCCAGTGGGGGGTGTGCAAGAGGCAGCTGATCGATGATTCTCTCTCATCGATGTTTCTAACTCTCTATCCCTCTCTCTCCCTCTCTGTAAAAAAGCAATAATATATATATATATATATTTTTTTTTTTTTTAATTTATTATTATTTTTTTTTAATCCACATTGAACTTGCAGCTCTCCGAAAACTTAGTTTTCCTTTAGTATTTACCAGGGATTGGTTCTAGGACCCCTAGATACTAAAATCCATGGTGCTGAAGTGCCCTGAGTGAAATGGCATGGATCAATGCATGCAGTTGTCCTTCTGCATGCACAGACTCCCAACCATTGATAGAAACAGTGCAGGCATTTATGGGGGGGGGGGGGGGGGATCTGTGTATAAGTAGGCTGGTATGGTTCAAATGTCCACTGCATGCATGTGTGTGTATGAATGAGTAGGAGGGTAAATTAAAACTATTGAAGTGCGTTTTTGGCTCTTGGTATTCGACAGATAGAAAATGTGTTAGATAGGAAAATGTCATACATTCTTAAGAAACTATTCCTCTTTAGAGAGATTGAGGAGGAGAGAAACATTAATTGGTTTCCTCCCGAATGTCCTCCACCACTGGGGATCAAGTCGCAACCCAGCACATACCCTGACTGGGAATCAAACCAGTGACCTCTTGGTTCACAGGTCATTGCTCAACCACTGAGCCACACTGACTGGGCACTTCTTAGTGTTTTGGTATTGTTTTCCAGCACAATTCATTTCACCCTGTTGGAAAGGTCCTGGTGATTTTGGCAGGGCATTAATAGAAGAGCAGTTTACAGTTTGGAGGGGTGTGCATAATCTTTCCTGGTTATTTATGTAATGAATAAGAAGCCAAGGCAAGAATCCGTGGTCAGCGGCCAACTAAGACATAAGTGATTGCCATGAAAGGATTATTTTTTGCCTTTTCTCACCTCTTTCCTCCATTTTATTTTACTCAAGTACCATTTATATGAAGTGGTATTGGAAAATAACCGTTGACAGTGATGTAAAATGTTTACATTTTTCTGTAGTAGCGGTGGTGGTGGAGGCGGAGGCGGCGGTGGCGGCGGAGGCGGCGGAGGAGGAGGCGGCGGCAGGCGTCGAGATTCTTACTATGAAAGAGGATATGAGCGTGGTTATGACAGATATGAAGACTACGATTACCGATACAGGTGATATTTAACTTGTGGTTTCTAAATTAAATGATAGTTGTATTACTTGGCACTTTTGATTTATGTTTAATACGTATTAAGAAAAATATTGAACATATTTTATATGATGCTTTCTTGAGAAAATAGGAAAGAATTATTTTTTCAAAACTGAGTACAGATGAAAGTTATCTGTATTTGTCAGTATTTTGTTGTGCCATATACTTATTGTTTCGGTGTCATTGGCACACAGAACTTAATAGTCACCATCTCGGGCCCTCATTATTTTGAGTGGTGGGGTTTTGTTTTGTCTGTCTCCGCGGGTCACGCATTTGCAAGTAATGTTTTGTTTCCTGCAGAAGAAGATCGCCTTCTCCTTACTATAGCCGATACAGATCACGGTCACGATCTCGTTCCTACAGCCCGAGTAAGTCTCTGCTTCTATAGCTTTAAGAACTTTCTTTCTGCCGGGGCCGGTGTGGCTCAGTGGATAGAACGTCAGCCTGGGGACTGAAAGGTCCCGGGTTTGATTCCAGTCAAGGGCATGTACCTTGGTTACGGGCGCATCCCCAGTAGAGGGTGTGCAAGAGGCAGCTGATCGATGATTGTCTCTCATTGATGTTTCTAACTATCCCTCTCTCTTCCTCTCTGTGAAAAATCAATAACATATATTTTTTTAAAAAACTTTGTTTCTAATCATTAGTTTTAGAAAATTAGAGTGTATGGTGACTCTTACTATATGCAAGCCAAACTATAATTGTCATTTTAACTTTTTTTCTCTCTCTTTCAGGACGCTATTGATGAAGAGAATAATTACATTTGAGGATATCTTTTTCTCTCGTCGTTTAATTCTGGATTTCCCTGATCTTCTAATCCTTCCTACTTAAAAAGAACCCAGAAAAAATCTTTGGTTTATTTAGCGTCTACACTTTGTCAATTGCATTGGTGTTTTCCACCCCTTTTATTATACTCTTAAAGATTTAATTGTCATTTTGAGTAGTTAAAACATCGTTAGTAAAAAAAAAAAAAAGGAATCCCCATTATTACACTTTGGGTTTGTTTGTTTTGTTTTTGCTTTTATAAAAAATTAACTCCTGGCTAATCAAAAGAGGAAAGAAATTATCTTTTTAAAGCTTCCTTTTTGTTAGATACTATATTAGAAATCTACATTTGTGACAAAATCTTTTTTTAACTTTCTTTTGGAGAAAAAAGTAACACATAAAGTAGTGCAGTCATGTCAGGTTTGTCTGGGGTGGCACAGAGCAGTTAAATAGTTGAGGTAGAAAGTTTGAGGCTTTAAAACAGTTGGAGGGTTCTTTTGAAAACGAAAATTTAGAACGGTAAAAGGGGCGTCTTTTTTTTTTTTTTTTTTTTTTTTTTTTTTTAGAAAAGGAAAGCTTGTGGGCTCCTACAAAACATTATATTTAAACCACATCTGTTAAGACTTACAAGCTTCAGTGTGGTTTTTTGTGTGTTGAACTTACTGAAATTTAAATATTCTCTTAATTAGTGAAGGATAACCCTTATTATTTATTACTTAGAGCAATTGTATACTTTGCTGTTGGAAATCTTGGTGTGGGGCAGTGGTTCAGCAGCTATTTATAGCATAGAATCCTTAGAGGACATGTGTGGGGAAAAGTCATCTCCTTTCAAATAAAAGCTAAATTGCTTTGAAAATGGGACTGTCTCTTTATTATGTTACAAAGGGAAAATATAACTGGGATGATTTAGGAACCAGTTCTTCCTTTTCCTAACATTTTTGCTTATATCTAAATGTAATCCTTGTTTCTTATTCAGTCATTAAAAACCTTTGTTTTACTTTCCCATTTTGGGGGGCCACATTGTAAATATTGAGAGTATAGTATAGCACCATGCTGAAGGAGAGTATAGCACCATGCTGAAGGAAAGATGATAAGATTCATTTCTTCAAAAAGTCCACATTCTAATAGGAAGCACACTGAAATGATTGTACTGTAATGTAAGAGGAGGGTGTTTTAGCAAAGAGGTATCTATCTGATGTCAGGTGATCTTTATAAAAAGGTTTAGAAGATGGACATCTGTAATACTGTCAACAATAAATATATATTTTTTTAAAGTAGAGGAGCATGAGCTGCTTTGTTTTCTCCCCCAAAGCAGATATGAAATTAGATTATTATCTGTATAAATAGATTTATGGGATTGAAGTACCTCAGATTTTTTTAAAATATATTTTTATTGATTTTTTACATAGAAGGGAGAGAGACAGAGCCAGAAACATTGATGAGAGAGAAACATCAATCAGCTGCCTCCTGCACAACCTCCACTGGGGATGAGCCTGCACCAAAGTACCCTTTCAGTCCGCAGACCTACACTCTATCCACTGAGTCATACCGGCCAAGGCTACCTCAGATATCTTAATTAAAAAACTACAAAATGTTTGTCTTAAATTCCCCCCCCCCCCAATAAAGCCTATTCAAAGAACAAAACAATTTCTTGTTGGACCCCGGTTGAAGGATTTTTGTTCTTATTAAAAGATTGGGAATCATTGTCTTAAAGAGGATGTTAATAATCTGTTGACTGTGGGAATACTTTAAAATGTAAGAAGTATATCAACAAAAAGTGATAATATTAGCCACAGTCTGGGAGAAAAGAGCCATGTGAAGAGACTAAACATAATTAAAAATATAGATGTGTTATATATATGTTGATGGTGCAAAAGCAGGGAAGGAGGACAGTTAAATGGAGGGCGGGCAAATAAAATTTAAAAGACCAATCTTTGAAGTCTTCCCTAAGAAGGTGAAATTTAAGTAAAATCTGAAGGGAAGGAAAGGAGTCTTGTCTGGAAGGAAGAGTGTGTGGGGTGTAGGAAACAGCAAATGTATTGGCCTTACGAGGCAGAATACCTGGAATGATTGATGAGAGAAGACAGATAAGTAAGGGGCCCTGCTAGGGAGGGAAAGGGTTTTGGAGGTTTCAACAGCAAGTTTTTTTTTATAGAAGGGAACTGTTGTCAGAGTGAGTGCATGGGTGTATTGCTTCAGATATATGGATACATGTTAGGCTTAAAGACTAGATGTGAGAGATGCAAATCAAAACAGTGCGGTACCATCTCACCTGTCAGAATAGCCAACATCAACAAATCAATAAACGACAAGTGTTGGCGAGGTTGCGGAGAAAAAGGAACCCTCATGCACTGCAGGTGGGAATGCAGACTGGTGCAACCACTGTGGAGAACAGTATGGAGTTTCCTCAAAAAACTGAAAATGGAACTCCCATTTGACCCAGAAATCCCACTCCTAGGAATATATCCCAAGAAACTAGAAACACGAATCAGAAAGGATAGATGCACCCCTATGTTCATAGCAGCACAATCTACAATAGCCAGAATTTGGAAACAGCCTAGGTGCCCGTCAGCAGATGATTGGATCAAAAAACTATGGAACATCTACACAATGGAATACCATGCTGCCATAAAAAGGAAGGAATTCTCATTTGTAGCAACCTGGATAGAATTGAACATCATGCTGAGTAAGCCAGTCAATGAAAGAGAAATACCACATGACCTCATTTATGGATATTAACATTATAAACTGATGAACCAAAAGACAGATATAAAGACAGTAAAGCAACAAGCAGACTGTCAAATTACAGTGGGGAGGGTAGGGAGATCTGGGGGAGATAGATCAACTGAAGGACTTGTATACGTGCATATAAGTACAACCAATGGACACAAAACTCTGGGGAGGGAGGGTATGTATGGGGGAAGGGGACAATGTTAAGATATGTACACATAATTTAAATAAAAATAAAGAGAAAATTAATTTCCCTAATTACTAAAAGACTAGATGTGTTACATTGCATGGATATGGATGTGCAACATACAAAAAGGTATTTCTGGGCCTCTTTTTTTGTTTTGTTTTGTTAATCCTCATCCAAGGATATTTTTTCCCATTGATGTTTAGAGTGGAAGGGAGTGGGGGGGAGAGACATTGATTGTTTGCCTTCTTCATGTGCCTCAACTGGGGCCAGGGATCCAGCCTGCAACTGAGGTGTGTGTATACTTAACTGGAGTCGAATGTGTGACTCGAGTCCATGGGCTGATGCTCTGTGCTTTCATCCAAACTGGCTAGGGCTGTTACCTATACTGATTGAAGGTCAGAAAAACTTGTTCTAACTCCCTGCAACAGTGTTTCCTACTAATTGGGGAAGGAGGGGAGAATGATCATGGAGCCCTTAAAAACAGGGTGAACTAACGATGTAAGACAATTTGTGTATACAAATACTAGATTTTTAAATCTTTGTGCATAGGATAAAATCTATAGGACTATGCACCAGTTTTCTAACAGTGGTAGTTACCCTGGAAAGTAGCAAACAGGAGAGGCCACTTGTAGAAAAACGGCAATTTTACATACAAGTTAAGGAACATGCATGCTAGTACTTCTGGATAAAAGCTCCTGTCACAGACTACCCAGAGATTCTCAAAGACTCGTGGCTAATTTTTTAGGATGTGGCTTAGAACACTTGAATTTCCTAGCACCCTGAGGACTATGAAGCACAAACACATATTGCTTCATTATGGCAATTAAAAGTCTTTATTTGTAATCCTATATAATAAAAGCCTAATATGCTAAGTGGCCAGTTGGCTGTTCAGCTAAAGCATAATATGCTAAGGCCGCTCAGCCACTTGGCTACGATGTGCACTGACCACCAGGGGACAGACAGTTGACCAGTAGGTCAGTTGCTATGATGTACACTGACCACCAGAGGGGGCAGGTGTTCCAACCAATAGGTTAGCTGACTGCTGGTGTCCAGCTGATTGGGACTAAGTGAAAAGGACCGAACATGCCCTGGAGCCCTCCTATGGTCCCTCCCCAGCTGACCAAACTCCCACATCCCTCCTTGGCTCTGATCCTGCACTGGTGGGGTCCCTGGGCCTGGCCTGTGCCCTCTCACTTTCGGCAGACAGCAGAGTAATTAGTCGCATTGGCCACCAGAGGGCAGATGCTCACCATGGGAGCTGCTCTCTGGTCTGTGTGCTCCCACAGCGGGAAGCAGGCCTAAGCTGTCATTCATCTCACATCCTGAGGCGCAGGCAGGGCTGAGGGACCCTCAACCCCAAATGCACGAATTTGGGCCTCTAGAGTAAAATAAAGGTTTATTTGTTTAAAATGTGTCCACTTCTGGATGCCAGATTCATAGGCATATGAATTTCCTTTTTCCCATCTAACTGAAATTAGGTGGATTTAAATGGTCAAAATTGGTGCATTTTTGTATTACGAAATGTACATTAAAAGGTAATGTGGAGCCAAAACCAGTTTGGTTCAGTGGATAGAGCGTCGGCCTGCGGACTGAAGGGTTCATGGTTTGATTCCAGTCAGGGGCATGTACCTTGGTTGTGGGCACTTGGAGGGTGTTCAAGAGGCAACTGATTGATGTTTCACACTCTCTATCCATCTCTCTTCCTCTGTAAAAAATCAATAAAGCATATTAAAAATTAAAAAAAACAACAACAACAACAACAATGAGTTGGGGATAAAATTGAAAAAATTGAGACTGTCAAAGAGAGCCTAAATAGACTCCCTCAAGTGTGAGCATTGACACATGGGTAATGGAAGCACCACAGTGTCAGGAGACTGTGGCTCTGATCACTTTCATTTGGGAGAATTGAAAGTACATAAAGAGGAGAATGGGGAGTTAGTGTTTAATTTGTGGAGTTTCAGTTGGAGAAGATGAAAAAGCTGGATGGTGGTGATGGTTGCACAATGAATGTACTGAATATCACATCTGTTCGCCTGCAAATGCTAAATTTTATGTATAATTTA